CTGTCTCCCTCTCCATCCCCCTCTCCCACCTCTTTTTACTCTCTTTCTCTTTAGATGAAATATATTGATATCTTATGAAATCTGTCTCTCTCTTCATTCATTTCACCCGAGTTGGCCATTCTACGTCATTTCATGCAGTCCCACTATTTTGCTCTCCATTTATTTTTCAAACAGTAAAACAATAAGCCGAACAGGAACCAACATTTGTGAGACGGGCTGACCAAATGAGTTACTTTTCAGAATCCACAAAAGGAGATACATCGACACGAGGGTCAAATTTGTAGATTTTCTGTTTATGCCATATTCTTAAAGTATAACATACTTTTTATTATTTAATTTTTCTAAACTGTAAAAACTTCACCTATAATAACCGTGATGCATATATTTCAATAAGACTTGAATCCGAGAAACATCTCATTTTATCAGCCCCCTTCACATTTCTCAATGTTCCTTCCCCACCGCAGCTGTCGTTCCAGCTAGAGACAGTGTCGCTGACCCCCAGCAGTGACCTTGACCTGGGCTGCCTGTACCAGGCGGGTGGCAGCGAGCACCGGACCGAGGCCTCCATCAGCAACACGCGGGAGGTCAGCTGCCCGCTCCCGGCCAGTGGGAAGCTCCCGCAGATACCTCAGGGTAAGGGTGAGTAGGTGAATGTTGTCACACTAGAAGTGAGAGCACACAGTCATGTACCTATCCCCCCCCCCCTGCTACTAGCATTTCCAATACTAGCAATGTTGGCTTACACCTTGTATTCATCTATATATGGGCTATATTGTCGCTTTTAAGCACAAGCGGACTATCCCGAAAAATGCTGTTTTGAGAAAACTGAAGGTAAAGTTTTGCCCCTAGCTTGTTCAGTTTCTTTAAAAGATAAGGAAAGTTTTCTCTATAACCAAACAAATACATGTATACACACCAATGAAACTAAACTTCTCCTATAGGTAGGGCAATGCCTACTTTTGGTGTAGGTCAAGATTTCTGGAAACCCCTGAAATCTGGGTTGGCCCGCTTGTCCCTAAAATCGACCATATTATATTTGTGAAAGTTCGTCACTTTGGTCACCTAAAACTTCCAAACCACTTAACTTTCGAATTTGAAAAAATTAACGGTAACTAAGAATCATTTAAAGGGTGCACAGCTATATTAAGGATTCTGAAGTCACTGTAGTTTAATTTTCAGTTTTTCATTAGTTTCGTTTAGATCTAATCTTGGGAAAGTCCGTCTTCTAAGACGCCATTGTAAACAGGTGAGGCTTCCTTTCACAAACAGTGTGCACTCATCCCACAATGACTTGGCAATCGATTCTTTTGAGTCTGTTCATCGAACGGGGTACCCAGCTAGTTTACATATAATGTGTCACGATGCGGTGGAATCAGGCGCTCTTCAATTTTTGGACATATGGAGTTATTGGTATCATCTTAAAAGCCTGCCCTTTTACCTTGCTCTCTATGAAAACAATACCCATTTATCTTGGATACAAGTCGAGACATTTGCAATTGAAGGAGGTGGGTTTGCTTAGTTTCTGAGGTAGAATTAGCGAGATAATAGCCGCCAGAGTTTAAGAATTTCCTTAGCTTGAGAACCCGTGGAAACTGAAAAGATCTTTTATGTTTTTAATCAACATTTTTCTAGTATAATCCACACTGAAATGTTTGGTTTTTTTAATGGTCATAAAAGGTGTTAAGCTGAAAAACAAAAAGTCAATTAAAATTCCCAAAACCTGCGGAAAAATGCCAGTTTCTTCATTTTCATTATTTTGACAAGCGCTTTGTTTCACCACGCTGCATCACATATAGTTTGTGCCCATATATATGTGAAGGGGGCTTTCAAAATGAAATGTTTCTCGGATTCAAGCCTTATTGAAATAGATACATCACGGCTATAGGTGAAGATTTTACAGTTTAGAAGTATGAAATAATAAAAAGCATGCTATACTAAAAGAATATGGCATAAACAGAAAATCTACAAATTTGACCCTAGTGTAGATTTTTGGCCAATATCTCCATTTGTGGATTGCGAGAAGTAACTCATTTTGTCCGCACGTCTCACACATGCTTTTTATTATTTCATACTTGTAAACTGTAAAAACTTTTCCTATAATAAGCGAGATGTATCTATTTCAATAAGAATTGAATCCGAGAAACAAATCATTTTGTCAGCACCCGTCACATACAGTTCATTCACAACCCCCTTCCAGTTCTTGTTTCGAGATGTCAGTGTTCAAAAAGCAGTTATTCTTTCTACATCTGAAACTACTCTTATTTTCTGACCTCTGTATCTTTGAGCATGATTGCCTATCTGTTGTGTGTCGTGCTCTTTGCTTTGTTAAACACTGATAAAGGTTTAGTTGATGCCTCCGTTCCAAGAAGAAGTCACACCCCCCCCAGGGCGGTGCTACTGACTGAAGTGTCTTTAGGCCTCTCCCAAAGGGGGGCCATTAACAAGTTCTTATGCTCAATAGAATTGTAAATGGGCTGATTCATCAATGTCATGCTCATAACTGTGCCCGAACTGCAATGAGGAACTGCTGCCTATTCTTTCCTAATCCTTGCTATCGTCATTTTTCTCTACGTCTTTTATATGTTTGTCACATTCTTGTGACCCGCTATTTCCGGGGTGCCTCGATAATAGAAGCAGACTTTCTGTTTTTGAGGTTAAAGAGGTGAGCAGAGTAAGCCTGATTCCCTGTATGCACTTCTCTGTTGACATCCACCCCTTGGCGCTCGTATGACCTTATGCAGTTGCGAGCGCATAAAACCTTTACTAAAACTAAACTTTAAAAAAAGTCATAATGTCATGGCTCCCATGTTAGCGCCAATGTGAGTGGAAACCCCAGATGTGTTTAGTAGGTCAAGTCAGTTCTGAATGGAGACCTCAACTAGACGTTTAATGTAACAATACACATCGTGTAATCTTATAACAAATTACTTTGCTCCACTTTTGTTGAGGGCATTTCTTTTAATGAACTCTCGAAATCGATGAGGATTTTAGAAATGTGAGGCGACCTGACAAAATGAGTTACTTCTCGTAATCCACAAATGGAGATATTGGCAAAAAATCGACATTAGGGTCAAATTTGTAGATTTTCTACTGATGCCATAATATTATATTCTTTAACTATAAACCTGTCTTCTATTATATCATACTTATTTTGAATTGTAAAAACTCCTCCTATGAGCGTCTTTAGGCCATTCCCAAAGGGGGGACATATCTCGTTCAAGCATAGTAGAATTGTAAATGGGCTGACTCATGTCACGCTCATAACTGTGCCTGATCTACAACAGGGAATTGCTGCTTTTTCTTTCCTGATCCTTACTATGGTCATTTTCCTCTACTTCTTTTGTATGTTTGTCACTCCCTTGTGACCTGCTATTTTAGGGTGCCTTGATAGTCGAAGCAGGCCTTGTGCTGTTGAAGCTAGAGAGGTGAGCAGAGTAAGTCTGATTCCCTGTAAAGATTTCTCTGTGGACACCCTCCCCTTGGTGCTCATATGACCTTATGCAGTTGCGAGCGCCGTAAAACCCTCTACTATAAAAAAAAAAGTATCCTATGAGCGTTGTGTATCTCTTTCCTTAAAGCTGGAATGAGAAGTAAGTCATTTTGTAAGCACACTTCACAAATCTACTTTTCCATTTCTTGTCTGATGAATCCCTTAGCTGAGAGCTTTCTGCTCATTTGGGTTAAGGAATAATGTGCTTACCTGTTATATGTACCTTTAAGAGAGAGAAATATTGGAGAACCTTTTCAAATTAATGTTTATGTATGTATTGCTCAAACAACATTGTTTTTTAACAGTCAAGCTACATAATCTCAAAAAGACACTCAAATAATATCAGCAAAAAGTAGAATTCAACTAAAATGTATCTGTGAAATTGAAATGTAATATGTCAACTCAGTACTTTATTTGTCTTTCTAAGAAGCACGTTCAGTATGGTGATATCTATGTCTAAGCTTGGCTTTTTTAAAGTTTCGAAAATGACTCGTAAGTTTTAGCAATGTTAAAAATTTTACATGAAAACTTAAAAAAAATCTTATTTCACTGTTCTCCTGGTCATGGTCAGATTGCAATGTTTTTACTTATGTTTGATGACAGCTTATAATATCCCTGTTTGATCTCTGGGCATTTTTTTTTCCTACCTCAACAAGTTAATCTGTGCTTCTTTTTCATTTCATGTTTTGTGTACTCACATTAACAACACTGTTCTCTGTTATGCGTGTGGACAGCAATGGATGAGTTACATTCATTTGTATTGTTCAACTATTTAGAATGGAAAGTAATTTTTAAATTTTGATTTGTCATAACTGAAAAACCAAAATGACAGTACAAATTTATTGATATGTTGGAAGGCTGGTTGGAGGGTGCACTGGTAGAAGTCCTTCTTCTTTTTTCATCTGTTACATGTATTTAGTACAAAGATTTTGGTGGGCAGGCAGATGGATGCTCTGTGGCATGCTCTATGAGCCTTACAACTACAGTGTATTATTAGCCCAGCAGACCGTAGAACACAACTCAGAAACATTCTCCGCTTCTTGGGAAGCATATTTTTTACTTGTGAATTTACATGTAGAATCCTGCTTAGTCTTGGGGACGTTCCCAAAGGGGGGATATTAACATGTTCTTATACACCATGGAATTGTAAATGGGCTGATTTATCAATGTCATGCTCATTCTGTGCCGGAACAACATAGGGGGAACTGCTGCTTTTTCTTTCCCCATCCTTACTATTAGTATTTTCCTCTACTTTTGTATGTTTGTCACATTCTTGTGAACTGCCTTTTCTAGGGTGCCTTGATAGTCGAAGCAGACTTTGTGCAGTTGAGGCTAGAGAGGTGAGCAGAGTAAGCCTGATTACCCATTTGGGTTTCTCTGTTGACATCCACCATTTGGCGCTCATATAACCTTATGCAGTTGCGAGCGCCGTAAAACCTTACTAAAATTAAAGAAAAGACCCTTCATATGATCATATAATGATTCTCCGTTATGTTTCAGATCATGAGCAGCTCTCTGTGCATTTCCACGTGAAAGGAAAGTCCATCGTGACCCGCAGTGTGTCTGTGTACAACTGTGATGTCCATACCTCGTAAGTGTTGCTTGTCAGAAGAATCGGATGACAACATTATGCTTGATTAGCTATTGGCTGTAACTTTGTTGGGGGTTTTTTTTCTGAAGGCTTAGCATTTCAAGACCTACAAACTGATCTAGACGACCTGCCCCTTTTTGCTCACATGAAGTAAGAGATGGAACTGTTGGGTTCGTTTTGGGTTTAATTTTTGAAATTAAAATGTATTATTGTATTGCTCTGTTTAGGAGACACTTTTTTCATTTAATGTGAAGAAATCTCCTGTTTTTGTTATTTTTAGAACTTGTTCTTTTGTTTTTATTATAATTGCTTTAACAATGATAATAACAAATAGGATATCTTACAAGTAATAAGGAGTATTTTATCCAATGAGGCGCTTTTCAAATTACTTTAAAAACTTAAAAGATGAAATGCTGTATCTATTTCTTTCCCTTGACTATTGTTAGATTTGAATTTAAAGGAATAGTCTACTAACCTGATAGATTTGACAAGACCAGAGTTTGAAAAATTGGTTCCGCTTTGTGTTTTTTTCCAGTTGCACAAGTTGTACTGAGAGCACGTTTGGCTGTCAATGGTGCTACACATCTGGCAAGTGTCTGGAGCCTCGCGCTCAGTGTGCTGACAACAGCGGCAAGGAGGTAAGTGAATGCAAAGCATAGAAGAAACCACACTGGGAAAAATAACATGGATCTACGCTCCAAGCGGTACGGGGTGGTGGGAAATGAACAAGCCGACAAACTGGGGAGCAATGCACCTGTCAATACTGACATTAAAATGGACAAAAATGATGTCGTCGCGAAGGCCCTTGCCTTGATCATTTTTTGCTTATTTTCTGATTATTTTCCTTTATCATTCTTTGTTGAAATGAACAGAATTGCTTAATTTCACATTTTTGGGCTGAGCTCGCATAATTTAAGAATTTTTTTGTGCATAAAACCACGGCGACAGCCCTTCACACATATACCAGTTGTTGTAATGCTGTTCTTCTGTATGCAATTTTGTGTAAATGTCACGGGCAAGCTTCATCTGTATTTGTGTAGGGGCCAGGCATCAAGATCAAGGATAACTGCCCTCACATCTGGACACAGTCAAGTGACGAAGGTATCCTGGTACATTCTGGCCAGAGCAAGCAAATAGCCGTGAGAATTCTCAACCTCCAGGTAATTTGACTTGCTCAAGACTAAAACTCAAGATTAAAAGTAAAGTTGTTCCGGCATCCGATAGGGACATTGGCGATTGCCTTGTTAGTGAGACAACTGCCTGTATGGTGGCCAGTTCCTTTCCACGCCGCCTTTACTTTCCCAACTCGAAGTCAGGTACCCATTACTGCTGGGTGGGCAGGAGGGGGCGAAAAAAATCCATGATTCATCAATGACCTGCTCATACTGTGCCGGAACAACATAGGGGGAACTGCTGCTTTTTCTTTCCTAATCCTTACTCTCGTCATTTTTCCTCTACTTCTTTTGTATGTTTGTCACACTCTTGTGGTCTGCTATTTCCGGGGTGCCTTGATAGTCGAAGCAGACTTTGTGCTGTTGAAGCTTGAAAGGTGAGCAGAGTAAGCCTGATTTCCTGTATGGACTTTTCTGTTGACGTCCACCCCTTGGCGCTCATATGACCTTTTGCGGTTGCGAGCGCCGTAAAAACTCTACTAAAACTAAAATTAAAAATATAATCCTCAGGAATCAGTTGTTCAGAATGTATATAACTTAACATTTCATGTGGGTGTTTGGTGGGTGCTCTGGTGTGGTTTGCTCCTTCTTTCCTCTCAAACATCTGTCGTCCTTTTCTCCCCTTCTTCTTTTTTATGTTTGTTTCTCTCTTGTAACACCTCTAATCTTCTGGCGCTCATCTGACCTTATGCAGTTGCGCGTGCCGTAAAACTTCTACTAAAACTAAACTAACAATTCATGTTGAAGTGTGGACCCCTTGACTTTCCCCATGACCATTTTCTGTCTTTGTTTTTTCAGCCGGGGCAAAACGACAATGTGAAGTGTTCCTTCAGCTACCTGGGAAAGAGGGAAGTTGTGAACGGAGCCATTTCGTCGACCAGCTTGTCATGTGACCCTGTCCAGGTGAGGGATGAATGGTTCTTTACTATAGCATAAGGACGTTTCTAGGGATGAATGGTTCTTTATTAAAGGACATTTCTAGGGATGAATGGTTCTTTATTAAAGGACATTTCTAGGGATGAATGGTTCTTTATTTTTGCATGAGGATATTTCTGGGGATGAATGGTTCTTTATTATAGCATAAGGGCGTTTCTAGGGATGAATGGTTCTTTACTGTAGCATGAGGATATTTCTGGGGATGAATGGTTCTTTATTTTTGCATAAGGACGTTTCTAGGGATGAATGATTCTTTACTGTAGCATGAGGACATTTCTGGGGATGAATGGTTCTGTATTAAAAATAATAGCATAACAACATTTCTAGTGATGAATGGTTCTTTATTATAGCATAAGATGATTGTAGAGATGAATGGTTCTTTATTATAGCATAAGGATAATTGTAGAGATGAATGGTTCTTTATTATAGCATAAGGATAATTGTAGAGATGAATGGTTTTATATTAAAGCATAAGGATTATTGTAGATGAATGGTTCTATATCAGAGCATGAGGACTTTTTTAGGGATAAATAGCTCTATATCATACATAAAGATAATTGTAGGGATGAATGATTCTGTATCATAGCATAAAGACTTTTTGTTGATTGTCCCAACAAAATTTATTCATTCTTTGGGCCCAGCCATATGGATGTTATGGCTACAATAACTTGAAAAGGTTAAATAAAAAAAACGACAAACAATATTGATTTTTATGAGGAATGTAGTTGTTTTTTGTGGTTGTTTTTTTTTGTTTTTTTGGGGGGTATTTGTGTTTTTTAAAATCAGGTAAAATATGAGGATAAAGTATCATTGTTTTTGTCAATTAAAGCTGTATATTGGTTCCCATGTGTATTTTTCCCTTTTGTTTCAGTTCAAGAAAACTCAAACTCAATTGAATGTTAGTGGGTGGTTGACGGGTGCTGTGGTGTAGTTTGCTTCTTCTTTCCTATCAAACATCTATCGTCTTTATCTCCCCTCCTTCTTTTTGTGTTTGTTGCTCTCTTGTAACTCCTCTAATCTTCGGCACTTATATGACCTTATTGTGTTGCGAGTGCAATAAAACATTTACTAACTAAAACAAAACAAATTGAATGTTAACCCTTTTCTTTCATTATTTGTTCTACAGTTCAGCTTCTCGGAGGAAAGTCCGTACGTTGTGGCTGATTTCCAGGTCACCTGGGGAGCCAATGGTCTCCCCTTGGACAACCCCAATGATGTTCAAGGTACGGTCATTTCAGTCAAACTTACGTACCGATGGTGTAATGCTCTCAACCCGGTCACTGATATCTTCAAGAAATTGTTTTAGTCTGTCAGTCTCTCTGTCATCACACGTGTGTGTGTATATATATATATATATATATATATATATATATATATATATATATATGTGTGTGTGTGTGTGTGTGTGTGTGTATTATATATATATCAATCTATCTGTCCCCAGTCCGTATCTACAAGTGCCAGTACATGGTGGCCTACTGCGGCCAATGTCTGTCCATGGACTCCGAGTACGACTGCGGCTGGTGCCAGGAGCCCTGTGTCGACAAGGATCACTGTGACGGACGCTGCACGCTACAGAAGAACTGCTCCAACCAATGGCTGGACCGTGGGGCCACTTGCCCTGACCCACAGATCACCAGGGTATGTCCTGTCCACCGCAGTATCTATTCGGAGATGGCTCCAACAGAAATAGACCAATCAAAATGCTTTGTGCCTCTAAACCAAGTAAAAAAATCTGGCATGCCCCCCCCCCCCTGTTTTAACCCATAATTTGATATTTTGCAGTTAGGTTCGTAATTTTCTTGAAAATAACTGATTTGCGACAGTTTTAGTGGCTCTATGTACATGTGTGATCTGCAGCAAACGATACGCAGTTTGACCCCCAAAGCAGTGCATCTGTGTGCGGCAGTATGTCTCTGAATAGTTCATGGATGCTCGCGAGACATCTCTGAATATCTTCTGCCCCTGTCCACAGTGGTGCTAGTGAGGCACAGTGGAACTTTCATAATAATAAATAGTACTTGTATAGCGCAAATTCCCGCTTCTTTAATGCGCTCCACAATCTATACTATTACCCCAGCAGACCTAAGAGCATTCTGAAGCAACCTCAACTTTCTGGGAAGCATACAGTGCAAGCAGCCATTCATAGGCGTTAAAGCACTAACATACTGACAAGATCTTTCGCTGTCTATGGCCAAGTTGTGTCCTTAAAACTGGTATTTTGCTATATTTTCTTGGGATCAAGTAGCTACAAATGAATATCACTGAGGCTATAGTTTGCATTTTGGCACATCTTTGAGTTATGCCATTTTGCTAGCACAGTGATGATATGATTTGTCTAGTCCAGCTAGTTATTGTGAGTCATGTGGGCCTTTTTCAAAGGGGATCTAGTGGACAGTGAACAATTACTTTGACCACAAGTAAATTGTGAACAATTTGCTTTGACCACTAGTAGTTTGTGAACAATTGCTTTGACCACTAATAGATAGTGAACAATTGCTTTGACCACAAGTAAATTGTGAACAATTTGCTTTGACCACTAGTAGATAGTGAACAATTGCTTTGACCTCAAGTAAATTGTGAACAATTGCTTTGACCACTAGTAGCTTGTGAACAATTGCTTTGACCAGACAGAAAATAATTTTAAAGCTGTTTTTGATGTGACCTTCTGTTTTGTGGGATTGTCTTTACTCAAGGATGTACTGGAGAGAGAGAGCGAGAGAGACAGAGAGAGAGAAACAGAGACAGAGTGAGAGACTGAGTGAAAGACAGAGTGAGAAAGAGGATTACTATAGGAGCTGCGTGCTGCATGTGATATGGTCTTTGTATTATTGTACAGCGCATTGAGCACTTTTTTGTGGAAATGCGCTAGATAAATGCAATTTATTATTATCATTATTATTATTATGATGATGATTATTATTGTAACAGTTCAGTCCTGCTACGGGCCCCATCAAAGGCATGACGCTGGTCTCTGTGACGGGCATCAACTTGGGCAAGTCTCCCAATGACCTGACGGCCGAGGTCGCTGGACGTCCCTGTACTATCAAGTCTGACCATTACCAGTCGTCCACAAGGTGAGACGCACGTTGGTGGTTTAGTTCTAGTTTAACACTTTGCCACTCAGAAACAGGAAGATCTCTCTTCGGATACATGGACAAACCCAACCCCAAAGACCCTTTGATTTGACCAAACAGAAAAGAATTTTAAAGCTTTCTCTTATGTAGAGCCAATCAGACCTCCTTTCTTGTTCTCTAGCGATGTTCTGTCGTCTGCTTTCGTCTCCACTTTGCCCCCTCCTCTGGGCTCCTGACTCTTTCTGCAGCCTTTCTACTGCTACTCCTTGGCTACTTCTTACTGCTGTCTTTCTGCCATGTCGTGACACACTTTCCTTCCCAGCCATCTCTAACCTGTTTGTTGATATATGTCTGTCTGGCCAGGTTCCTGTGTGAAGTGGGTCCGGTGGATACCGTGAGCAGTGGAACCATCTCCGTGACGGTGGATGGTCAGTACACAGCGACGTCTGCTGCAGAGTTTGAGTTTGTGGTGAGTGCTAACTATAGTGCCTTCAAAAATCGTGGCGCAACTTATTGTCAAATATCTCCTCAACTATGGAACATAGGTTCTCCAATTTTTGCATAATGACTTGTATCAATTCAATTTGTCTTAATAGATCAATGTTTTTGTAAACACCTGCTCGCTGTAACTTTTGTTTTCTCCTCATCACTTTCAGCTTCTTTGTCATCATCTTTGTGCTTATCAAAGAAGTTATTTTGAAGTATCGTTAAAAAGAGACATAGCCTAGAACTTGATATCTATCATCGACATGGTTTTATGGAATATGGAAAATAACTAATTCTAAATCTGAATTTAGAAGAATTTAATTACTCAAATACAATTTTGAATTTTTAAATTAAATTATTTTGAGTTGTGTGTTGCTCTTAGAGTATGTATCTATATATAACTCCAATGTGGTTGGATGATACATCTGATGTGAATGTATACATTTTGTCAGCTTTACCATTCTCTTTTCATATTGAATTTTAATGTGAGTAATATGTAATTTAATTTTTTATGTATACCTGTACCTGCTTGTGTTTTTACGGTCCTGTACAGCCAAGCAAAATTTCCCTCTGGGATAATTAAGTATTATCTTACCTTATTTCATCTTATCTTATCTTATCTTATCTGTCAGGATCCTGTGCTGGTCTCGCTATTCCCCAAGTCCGGGCCAGTGTCAGGGGGAACAACTCTGACCATTCTCGGTGACAACCTGGATGCTGGCAGCGACACCAGTGTCAAGATGGAGGGAGGAATCTCTGACGTCATCAGGTGTGTTTTTAGTTATTTATCTGACGTCATCAGGTGTGCTTTTAGTTATTTATCTGACATCATCAGGTGTGCTTTTAGTTATTTATCTGATGTCATCAGGTGTGCTTTTAGTTATTTATCTGACGTCATCTGCTGTGCTTTTAGTTATTTATCTGATGTCATCAGGTGTGCTTTTAGTTATTTATCTGACGTCATCAGGTGTGCTTTTAGTTATTTATCGGACGTCATCAGGTGTGCTTTTAGTTATTTATCTGACGTCATCAGGTGCGCTTTTAGTTATTTATCTGACGTCATCAGGTGTGCTTTTATGTATTTATCTGACTATAATAAGCGTGATGTGTCTATTTCAGTAAGGCTTGAATCCAAGAAGCAACTCATTTTGTCAGCACCCTTCACTTTTATAATATCATTGCAAGCCGAATTTCATTATTTTTTTCTATTTTGTCTTTCCCTTTTACTTCCATGGTTCAGAAAAACTTTTTCTGATATTTCCACTTGGATGCCTTAATGCCTTCGTTAATAGAAAAATTTAAAGTACCACAGAGTGGGTGGTTGGCCCTACTTCTTTACTTTCCCTCTGTTGTTTCTGTTTGTCCGTCTCACTTTATCCTAGTGGGTGGTTGGCGGGTGCTCTGGTGTGGTTTGCTTCATCTTTCCTATCAAACATCCATCGTCTTTACTCTCCTCCTTCTTTTTTGTGTTTGTTACTCTCTTGTAACACTCCTAATCTTCCTCACTTATATGACCTTGTTGTGTTGCAAGTGCCGTAAAACACTTACAAAAACAAAACAAAAGTACCTAGATATGTTTGAAATTGGTGTAAAAAAAGATCAGATAAATTTGAAGTTGTGAAATGGAGGCGGAGGCTTATAATACTTTTTGCATGCTCGCTGTCCGTAGGGGTAACAAGACGAGCCTGGAGTTCAAGATTCCCGCCAAGTCGGGGACCAATGACGACGTGACGGTAGAGGTGAGCTTTGGAGGCTACAGGAAACAGGTGGCGGAGACCTTCTCCTACAAGCCTGACCCCACAGTGTCCATGATCGAACCTTTGAAGACAATCATGAGGTCAGTGAGTCCTTTTGTGTGTGTGTGTGTGTGGGG